AATTAGAAAGGAAGAAGTCAAAGTATCATTATTTGCAAATGATATGATAGTATACATAAGTGACACCAAAAATTCTACCAAAGAGCTCCTACAGCTGATGAACACCGTTAGTGAAGTAACAGATACAAGATAAAAAAAAAAAAAAATCAGTAACCCTCCTATACACAAATGACAAATGGATTGAGAAAGCAGGAACACAACACTCTTCACAGTAGCAACAAATAATAGGAAATATCTTGGGATAACTCTAACCAAACAAGTAAAAACTTGTACAACAAAAACTTCAAGTCTTTGAAGAAAGAAACTGAAGAAGATATCAGAAGATGGAAAGATCTACCATGCTCATTGATTGATAGGATTAATATAGTAAAAATGACCATTCTACCAAAAGCAATCTACAGATTCAATGCAATCCCCATGAAAAATCCAACAGAATTCTTTACAGACCTTAAAGGACAATACCCAACCTCATATGGAAAAGACAAAAAACCCAAGATAGTTAAAACAATCCTGTACAATATAAGAACATATGGAGGTATCACCATCCCTGATTTTAAGCTCTACTATAGAGCTATAGTAATAAAAATCCATATAGTATTTGTTAGACTTACTAGCCACTCCCCTAGCTCTGCACGCACTGTCCAGTAGCCATGCAAGATGCTTAGTTATCTTAGGGCCTTACGTCCTACGTAATTCGTGTGCTATGTGATCATGTAATCTTCATGCAGTGTGGTCAAGTAATCTATGCACATACATGGCTTAGCTATGTAAGCCCATATGCGCATGTGCAAGGCGGGGTAACTATAAAAGCAGGCTCCACCTATTCCTTCCCTCTCTTCCTGCACAGTCATTCCATAGGCCTATGCACACCCTTTCTATTCCCTTCCCTTAATAAACTCTTATAGTGAGCTTTGTTGTGTCTTGTGGCTTCTCTTGCATGGTAAACAGTGCTGCTTAATAAATAACATTGCACTGCTTAATAAATAACAGTATTGGCAAAAAAAAAAAAAAAACAGGTTGGTTAGTGTAATTGAATTGAAGACCCACAAGTAAATCCACATACCTATGGACAATTGATTTTTAATAAAGAAACAAGAAATACACTGCTGTGGAATAATCCTCTTGTACACTGTAAAGATTTATCACTCAAATTGGTTTAAGAAAACATTGATTGGCCAGTGGCCAGGCAGAAAGTATAGGCAGGGCAACCAAACTAAGGATGATGGGAAGGAGAAGGATGGAGTCAGGAGTTGCCAGCCAGATGCAGAGGGGGCAGGAAATGAACATGCCATGCTAATAAAGGTACTGCCACATGGCAAAGCATAAATAGAAATATGGGTTAACTTAAAATGTAAGAGCCAGTTAAAAACAAGGTTGAGCTATTGATCAAGCATTTATAACTCCTATTCAGCCTCTGAGTCAGTTATTTGAGACTGGGTGATCAGAACAGGTAATGTCTGACTACAATACACAATGGAAAAAAGAAAGCCTCTTCAACAAATGGTGCTGGTCTAACTGGATGTCAGCATGTAGAAAATTCAAATAGATCCATATCTATCACCCTGCACAAAACTCAAGTCCAAGTGAATCAAAGACCTCAACATAAAACCAGATACACTGAACTTGATAGAAGAGAAAGTGAGGAATAGCCTTGAACATTTTGGTGCAGGAAACAACTTCCTGAATAGAACACCAATAGTGCAGGCACTAAGAGAGACAATTAATAAATGGGACCTCCTGAAACTGAAAAGCTTCTGTAAAGCAAAGGACATTATCAATAGGACAAAATGGCAGTCTACAAAATGGGAAAAGATTTTCACCAACTCCATATCTGACAGATGGCTAATACCCAAAATACATAAAGAACTCAAGAAACAGATATCAACAAACCAAACAATCCAATTTTTAAAAAATGGGTTACAGATTTAAACAGAGAATTCTCAACAAAGGAATCTCAAATGGCCAAGAAGTACTTAAAGAAATGATCAACATCCTTAGCCATCAGGGAAATGCAAATCAAAACGACTCTGAGAGACCATCTTACACCCATGGCTAAGATCAAAAACACAAGTGACAGCTCATGCTGGCAAGGAAGTAGAGCAAGAGGAACACTCCTCCATTGTTGGTGGGAGTGCAAACTAGTACAGCCACTATGGAAATCAATATAGCAGTTCCTCAGAAAATTGGGAATCCATCTACCTCAAGACCCAGCTGTACCACTCTTGGGCATATATCCAAAGTATGCCCCATCCTACCAAAAGGACACTTGTTTAGCCATGTTTGTTGCAGCTTTATTCATAATAGCCAGAAACTGGTAACAACCTAGATAATCCTCAACTGAAGAATGGATGAAGAAAATGTGGTATTCATATGGAATGTACATATTCACAATGGAATATTACTCAGCTGTTGAAAACAATGACATCATGGAATTTGCAGGCAAATGGATGGAACTAGAAAAGATCATCCTGAGTGAGGTAACCCAGACCCAGAAAGACAAACATGGTATGCACTCACTCATAAGTGGATATTAGCTGTAAAGTAAAGGATAATTATACCACAATCCACAGACCTAGAGAGGCTAAATAACAAGGAAAGCACACGGTGGGATGCATGAATCTCCCTGGAAAGGGGAAAATAGAACAGATTTTGCAGGTGGACTGGGGATGGATGGGGATGGGAACAGGGATCAGGCAGAAAGGTGGGGGAAAGATGGAGGGAGAGAATACTGGGAGAGATGACTGGAATTTAGAGGGCATCTGGGGTGGGGGTGGGGTGATTTAGAAACCTAGTGTAGTGGAAACTCCCTGGAATCAACAAGAGTGACCCTAGTGAAGTCTTCTAGTAATGGGGCATATGGAGCTTGAACTGGCCATCTTCTGTAACGAGGCAAGACTCCTAGCAGTGGGACTGGGACATCAACCGAGCCCCCAAACCTTTGACCTACAATCTGTCCTGCCTGTAGGACATGCTGGGGCAATGGTGATGTGGAACTTGTGTGAGTGGCCTACAAATGACTGGTGCAACTTGAGGCTCATGCCATGAGAGGGAGCCCAAGCACCTGACTCTGCCTGGATGGCCAGGAACCAGAAGCAAGACAGCCTAGAGACCCAGGATGGACCTAAACACGACTAGCATAAAAAAGAAGGAAAAAAGTCCATGAAATGATTCCCAATAATATCCTAATGATATTCTGCTATACTCATAGCTTGGTACCTAGCCCAGTTGGCATCACAGTGGTGTCATCCAGCAACCATGGGAGCAGTTGCAGAGACTCACAGCTAGACTCTAGATGGAGCCAGAGGAACCCTGCAGAAGATTGGGAGGAAAGATTGTAGGGACCATAGAGGTCAAGGACACCACAAGAAAACTCACAGAATCAATTAACCTGGGCTCAGAGGGGCTCAGAGACTGAACCGACAACCACAGGCCCTGTATGGTACTGAGCTAGGTTCTCCGCATATTCCTTATGGTTGTGTAGCTTGGAATTCTTATGAGACTTCCAACAGTGGGAGTGGGGTTGTCTCTGACTCTTTTGACTTGGGACCCTTTCCTCCTACTGGGTTGTCACATCCAGCCATGATAAGGGTTTGTGCCTGTTCTTACTTGTATCTTGTTAGGCCATGTTTGGTGGATTCCTGGGAGAGCTGCTTTTTTTTTTTTTTCCCCCAGAAACAGAGGAGGAAAAGGTAAATGGGGAAAGGAACTGGGAGGAGTGGGAAAAAAACTGGGGTCCAAAATAAAAGTAAAAATAAAATTTAAAAAGGTGGCAGAAAAGATTTTTTTTTTCCAAGACAAGGTTTTCTCTGTGTAGCCCTGGCTGTCCTGGAACTCACTCTGTACTTCAGGTTGGCCTGAAACTCAGAGAGATCCACCTGCCTCAGCCTCCTAAGGGTGAGATTAAAAGCATGAGCCACCACTGCCTGGCCAGAATAGAAATTTTAAATCAGATTTATGGTGGAGAGATAGCACGACAGTTGAGAGTACTGCTCACTCTTGTTGAGGACTTAGTGTCAGTTCCCAGCACCCACACATGGCACCCAACAAGCATCTGTAACTCTAGTGCCAGTTAATCAGACACCCTCTTCTGGCCTCCATGGGCCCTGCTCACGATGCACAAACACACATAAAATCTAATCTTTTATTATTTTGTTTTTGTGCATGGGTGTTTTGCCTGCATGTATGTCTGCATCATGTACATGCCCAGTGCCTAAAGAGGCCAGAGGAGGGTGTCAGATCCTCTGGAACTGGAGTTACAAACAGTTGTGAACTGCCATGTGGGTGATAGGGAGCAAATTCAGGTCCTCTGGAAGACCCCCAGTATTCTTAACTGCTGAACTGGGAAAGCAGAGGTAGGCAGATCTCTGTGAGTTCAAGGCCAGCCTGTCTACAGAGTGAGTTCTAGGACAGTCAGGGCTGTTATACAGAGAAACGCTGTCTCAAAACAACAACAAAGTGGCAGAATATAAATTGGAATCATGTCTGAGGCTGGACAGATGACTCAGCTCATGGAGTACCTGCTGCACAATGCTGAGGACCTGAGTCTGGATCCCCAGCACACATGTAAAACTCTGGGCATGGCACGCACCTGTCACCTCAGCACTGGAGGGGCAAGGACAAAGGGACTGGCTTGCCGGCCAGTCAGTTTAGATAAATCAGTAAGCTCTAGGTTCTGAGAGAGACTGTTTTTAAAAGGTAAGGTGGCCGGGTGGTGGTGGCACACGCCTTTAATCCCAGCACTCAGGAAGCAGAGGCAGGCAGATCTCTTGTGAGTTCGAGGTCAGCCTGGTCTACAGAGCAAGATCCAGGAAAGGCGCAAAGCTACACAGAGAAACCCTGTCTTTTTTTTTTTTTTTTTTTTTTTTTTTTTTTTTTAAGATTTATTTATTTTGTATATAGCATGTATGACCAGAAGAGGGCACTAGATCTCATTACAGATGGTTGTGAGCCACCATGTGGGTACTGGGAATTGAACTCAGGACCTCTGGAAGAGCAGTCAGTGCTCTTAACCACTGAGCTATCTCTCCAGCCCGAAACCCTGTCTTGAAAAACAAAAACAAAAAACAAGGTAAGGCGGAGAACAATTGAGGAAGACATCTAATACTGATCTCTGGCCTAGACAGGTATGCACAAACATGCCTATGTATCTGCACATGTGTGCATGCACTCAAACACATATACACCCCCTAAATAATAAAAATTAAGTCTGTTTTACCTCAAACACAAGCTTTTCTCACAATAGTAAACCATCTTTCCATTTCAGCACTGATATGCTTACAGGTAAATGTCATCCTTGGAATGTAATCTCAACTTCTTTGCATTATCTTATGTAATTAATACTGTATAAACAATAAGGCCATGGAAAGAGTCTAGGCTCTCAGGGATATTGTAGAATAAATCGTCATGCCTTATTTACTTCTTTGGACCTTCACTGCAGCTCCATCCCAAACCATCCCTTCCCTGCAGCCCACTTCCCTTCGCCCTTGCAGTCCTCATACCATGTTCCTATTCATTACTGAAAAATGATGAGGCCATACCACTTTCATAGTTAGTCATTTTGTTGTTGTTGTTGTTAGGTTTTTGTTGTTGTTGTTTTTGCTACCCCCTAACCGTTAACAGCTGACATCAGTCCCCTCAAAGCCTTGTCTCATTATAGGTTCCTGGCCCAAAGTTCATGTTCTTTCATCTGCAACACCAAGTGTATGTAGATGAATCCTCAGGTATAGGCTCTCGTAATACGGAAACGTCTAAGAAAATAAGTCATGCTACCTTTCTCCCCCAAAACATCTAGTAGCTGAAAAAAAAAATAACTAGAACCCTCATCCAAATAGAGGGAACAAAAAGATATATAATTGTCATTAGTCCATAGCAATAAAACTATGGTCAGTTAACATAAAAATGATTGCTTTTGCAATGTTTTTCATGAGATACATAATGCTTACCTATCATCTAAGGCTGAGATTGGATCATTGTTCTTAGGAAGACAGCAATGAGGTGCCCTCGGGATTTTAAAAGATAAGCAAGTATTCATTTATATTACATCATCAAGCCACTTGTTCACAGAAGCTAAACAGAGCTCCTACGGTGAAAAATATTAGGAATTAGTAAGTTCCCAGTACACATGAATGTTGGCCATGTTGCTTACAAATTAGCAAAGCCAAGCAACTGGAAGAATCAGTACTTCCCTGAGATCATCTTACAAGTACACTTTCCAGGGTCTGGTAAGATGGCTCAGTAGGTAAAAGCACTTGCTGAGCAAGCCTGATGACCTGAGTTGTATCCTCAGAACACAGTGGGAGGGCAGAACCCCCCCAAAAGTTGTCTTCTAATCTCCACCAGCATCCTTTGAGATGCACACAGCGCCCCTCCACCTCCCCTGCCACCGCTCTCCACCAGTAATAATTAAACTTTTTAAAAATGTAAAGTCCACTCTCCAGGTCAGGTGCAGTGTTGCACATCTGTAATTGCAGGACCCGTGACTCAGAGATAGCAGAACTACCATAAAACAGGATACGCTGAACTACAGACAGCAAGTTCCAGGCCAGCCAGGGATACATAGCAAGATCATGTTCCCAAAAATCAGAATAAATAAAAGTACATCTTCCAAAAGCAATTTCCCAGGGTAGGGTAGTGGCTCAGAGGTTAAGAGCACTTGTTCTTGGGGCTGGAGAGATGGCTGAGGTTAAGAGCACTGGCTGTTCTTCCAGTGGTCCTTAGTTCAATTCCCAGCAACCACATGGTGGCTCACAACCGTCTACAGTGAGATCTGGTGCCCTCTTCTGGCCTGCAGGCCAAACACTCACTGTATACATAATAAATAAATCTTTTTTTTTTTTTTTTGGTTTTTCAAGACAGGGTTTCTCTGTGTAGCTTTGCACCTTTCCTGAAACTCACTTGGTAGCCCAGGCTGGCCTCGAACTCACAGAGATCCGCCTGCCTCTGCCTCCAGAGTGCTGGGATTAAAGGCGTGCGCCACCACCGCCCGTGTAGTTTAGTAGGGTATTTGGTTTTGTTTTTTCTTTTTTGGTGTTTTCGAGACAGGGTTTCTCTGTGTAGCTTTGCGCCTTTCCTGGATCTCACTCTGTAGACCAGGCTGGCCTCAAAAATAAATATTTAAAAAAAAAAAAAAAAAGAGCACTTGTTCTTGCAGAGGACTTACGTTTGATTCCTAGCACCCACATGGCAGCTCACAACCATCCATAATTCCAACTCCAGGTAATCTGATGCCCTCTTCTGACCTCCTTTTAAAAACACTAAGTACACACACACCATACACTGACAAAACTTTACTTTTGGAATTTTCTTCAGTACCTACATAGATAATTCATTATTTTAACTGAATAAAAATATGTAAAAAAAAAAAAAAATCTGAAGCTCTTCTACTTCCTTTGACAGTCCCTGGAAATACATGATCTAGATGAGTGTTTTCTCAAATAGGGGCTAGGTTACCCACCCCATGGATCTTTTAAAAATGTCTAGATATTTTTAGTTGTCCCATGTGGGGTATATATTGGCATATGTCAATAGAGACCAGGCATACTGCTAATAATCTTCATACAGTCTACAGAAAAAGCCTCCCCCAGAGAATTACCTTCTCCTGCCCTACTTGCTCTCTGTTGCTATGATAAACCACGACCAAAAGCAACTTGAGCAGGCAAGGGAAACCATGATAGAACTCATGCCAGGATCCTGATGTGGAAACCACAGAGGAACTGCTTACTAACTTGCTTTCCCTGTGGTGATATATTGTGTTCCCTAATAAACTTGTCTGGGGATCAGAGGACAGAGCCAGCCACTAGATTAGACATAGAGGCCAGACAGTGGTGGCATACATCCTTAATCCTATCACTTGGGAGGCAGAAATCCATCTGGATCTCTGTGAGTTCAAGGCCACACTAGGGACAGAGTCAGTAAGTGGTGGCATGAGCCTTTAATACTAGCACTTGAGATCTCATGTCTTTGCTTGGAAAGGACACATGCCTTTAAACCCAGGAAGTGACATGGCTGGGTGAAGAACAGTATATAAGGCATGAGGAGACAGGAACTAAGCAGCAGTTCAACTGAGACCCTCAGGGGTGAGGACTCAGGCTTTCAGTCTGAGGATTTATGGAGACAGGATCAGCTGAGGAGTTAGAGAGGTGAGGTTAGCTGTGGCTTGTTCTGTTTTTCTGATCTTTCAGCTTTCACCCCAATATCCAGCTCCGGGCTCCGGGTTTTTGTACTGTTTTTTTTTTTTTTTTAATTAATAAGACCTTTTAAGATTCGTGTTACATTTCCCTAGCTTGTTCAGCGACCTTTCTTATACAGTTCAGGCCTATTTGCCTAGGGATGGCACTGCCCATAGTGGGCTGAGCCCTTCTATATCCCACAGAAATCCCACAAGCTAATCTGACAGAGGCAATTCTTCAATTGAGATTCCCTTTTTCCAGGTGTGTCAAGTTGACAACCAAGATTAGCTATCACCTCTCCCAAAAATTGGTATTGCCACTTTTAAGAAATCCTGGTCTACCAGGAGTGGTGGCACATACCTTAATCCCAGCACTCCGAAGGCAGAGGCAGGCAGCACATCTCTGAGTTCAAGGCCAGCCTGGTCTATATAGTGACATAGTGAGACCCAGTCTGAAAAAAACAAAACAAAATAAACCCAAATTTAAAAAAAAGAAAAGAAAAGAAAAAAATCCTGGCCTAGATAGAATTCCATTACTTTCTGTATAAGTAATAGAATATAATAAAACATACTTCAAACATCAATCTCAGATTAGTCTTGGGGCCAATAAGATGGTCCAGTGAGTAAAGCTGCTTGATGCCAAGCCTGATGTACTGAGTTCAATTCCTATTACCCACACAATGGAAAGAGAAAAAAAGTTGTATTGACTTCTAAACACACACTCTGGCACTCCTACACCCACATACACATGCACAAAATAAGTAGTTTGAGAATACCATTGTCTAGTTACTTATAGTTATTCATTCAACAAACATTCACGATGAAATATTATGGTGAATGTATTGTAGACATAAAGGAACAAGACCTTCAGTGCCCTTAGAATTATTCAGCTGGGAAGACTCCCCAAAATAGGCTCTTTCTTATTAAACAATTCACTACTACCTACCACTCCCTCTACGAAGAACCTAGTTGAGAGAAATCATGACTGAAAAATTATCTGTTAAAATAATTTAACCAGGTATGATGGCATGAGCCTTTAATCTCAGCACTAAGGAGGCAGAGGCAGAAGGATCTCTGTTGAGTTAGAGGCCAGAACGGTCTACATAAAAAGTGGCAAGGTAGCCAGGGCTATACATTAAGACCCTGTCTCAAAAAACACAAAAACAAAGCCCATCATGCAATTTATTTATCTAGATAGGAATTCTTGAACTAAGCTAGTTGATGAAATGCTCCCATAAGCCCTCAAAGATGTGCCTTAAGCTCAGTTTGTTGTTCTCTGATTTCATAGTGAAAATCTGTCATATGGAACGCCTTACTAACTTCCTATAAGATCCTGTATATATCACTTCATGTCACCCATGGAATTAAACGTACATTTCTTTTACAAACTAAAATCTGATGACAGGGCTGGAGAGATGGCTGAGCAGTCAAAGGGGATTACTACAAAACTTGAAGTTACCCAGAACCCACAGGGCAAATTGTCCTCTGACCACCACACATGCACCATGGCACATTTACACACACACACACACACACACACACACACACACACACACACACACACAAAATAAATGTAGTAAAAAAAAATCTGATGACAAAGGAATGCTTCCCTTCATTCTGACTACCAAATCACTTATAAAGCCAATTCTGAGGCTAATGTCTCAGCTCTGTACTCTAAATATCTGTCTGTTTCCCCATCCCAACACACTGGGATTAACTGATGTTTCATTTTCCAGTTTCTGGATAATTTGGTCTTAAGACAGCTTGCTGTTATTCTATTACATCTATAGCATTAGTGATATCACTGTATAAAATACAGTCGAGCATAAGTAAAACAAAAACTGAGCACAAACAATAAGAAAACAATGGCAATAGAGCTGCTAGAAGTATGGATACCGACTTAAGAACACCTTTAATAGTTAATAGTTATTTGGGGGGAGGGGCACACACACAGGACTGTGTATGAATGGCGGTCAGACAACAATCTCTGGGAGCCAGTTCTCTCCTATCACATGGGTCCTAGGGATTGATCTGAGGTCATCATAGGTGCTTTATGCACTAAGTCATCATGCCAGATCATTAAAAAAAAATTAATTTAGTTTTTAAAAATGTATTTATTGAATGTAGTGGAGCATACTGTCCACACAGCATACGTGTGGATGGACATCAGAGAATTGGTTCTTTCCTTCAACACTGTAGGTCAGGGATTGAACTCGGTTTCGCAAGCTTGGCAGCAAGCACCTTCCCTGCTCAGCCGTCTATCTCACCAGGGCTCTCTCTCTCGAGTGTCTCATGTGTCCCACACTGGCCTCACACATGCTACTGTAGCTGACACTGACCTTGCACTTCTAATCATCCTGCTTCCACCCCGAGCACTGGGATTACAGCGGTGTACCACTATACTCCGTTTTATGAACTTGGGGTCTGTGCATGCTAATCCAGTACTCTGCAACTGAGCTACATCCTCAGTTCCTGCATGGCAGCTTTGACAGCTTGAATAGTGAAGGCAATGAGTGTCACAGAAAACATCTGAAAGGGCTCAGGACTAAGAAAGATACACTATGTGCCGAGACATGCGAGCAGGCAACTGCTCTAGGGAAGAAGAAGATGTTAAGGGCCGGGATGCAAGAGCACTCAGAGCACCGCAATAAACCAGCTTTTTGTTTTCTTCTCTGTAAACCACCCTGTCAGAACAGAGGGTGTCAGGAGTGGTGAGCCACGACACTGAAGAGGTACTTTAGATGCCACAGTAAGGGTTTTTGGATCCTAACCTAAAAAGCATGCCTAAAAATACAAGAACAGTCTACTGAAGAAACAAACACCCTCAAAAATGATGACAGCTACCCATTTCCACAGGCGCCAGGTATATTTAATAAATACAACCCCTAAAATGATCAGAGAAAAATCCCCATCCTATCCTCGTCCCACCTTTACCCCTTATCAATACTACTGTGTGTAACCTTCTCCTTAAAAATGGGCTCAATCCCTGACAGGCTGGAAGGGAACAAGGGAGGAGCCTTTGGGTAAACACAAAAGCCATGATTCCTAGACTGCCCGTTCTCTTTGCATCTGATCTCTTTGCATCTGGACTCAGAAGCAGCTCTATTAGCAAATGGAGGAACTCTGAAAGCTGTTCACCTCACTGCAAGGCACGCAGCAGGGCTCTTAGGATTTTATGTCTCCAACTGTTCCGATCACAGTTTCTAACACAGAAACAAAACCATGCAGCGCTTCAGTCCTTGCCTCACTCTCTTTCACAGAGACTTGCATTTCTGAGTTCTCGGGCTTCAACAGTAACTCAGTTAAGAAGAGACAACCAGTATCATCCTGAGCGCTGAGGTAGGCTTTCCAGGGCTGTGCCCCAGCCTTGCTCATTGCGATGGTCTGAATGTTCACTACTTTTAGAGCCATTTGGAGAGTGTCGGGCTGGACTTCTCCCTGCCAAGGAAACACCTGTTGATGAGTAATTTTGAGGTTAAGCCATGTTTTCTCAAAATACTCAGCAGTAAGCTGGAGATTGGGGACCAGCATGAGAGCTTCAGGATCAAGAGATTCTTGTATTCCTTGCTTGTTCTCTTCAGAAATCAAGTGACCTAAAAGAGTCAGAAAGCTTTTATAAGAGATGCTCTTAATCAGCATTTTTACTTTACATTCCAAAATACCCAATGTGTTGCCAGACATGGTGGTACCTACTCACTTATACTCCTAGTACTTGGGTTGGGGGATCAAAGTAGGAGGATCAAGGCTACAAAGGTAGCCTTGTGTACACAGCCAGCTCAAGGCCATGTTGTATCTCATAAACATCAAAAGCAAAACACATTTATATGACTTCTGTCTTCAGATAAATGGCTTAAATAACCAAGGATGAACTCCCCTTATGCCCACAAAGGACTCAAATTCAGACAACAGTATGAAATTTAGCTACAGTATTTTACTTTCCACCAGTTACCACAAGGGGTGGTGAAAAGCTTTACCACGACGAGATGTAAGGTAAACACTATTTTTACCTGGTTTGGCCAAGGATGCATTGGGAGGTAGCTCAAGACGATGACGCTCTACCTTCTGGCATTTAGAGATAGTTGCCCAGTGGGCTTTGCCATACACTGGCACCAGTGTATTGAAATCTGAAGCCCAGCTATTCACAGGTCGTTCTGGTTGATCCTCCAAAAGTCCAAGAGAAGGGTCGGATTTAGGACTACACAGGATCTGCTCAACTTTTTCAATGCCAACTAACAGGAGGCGATAGTAGAAGAGACCTCGGTCTCGTACAGCCATATCCTTTTCTTCCTCTGAGAGAAAACAATGGATCGAGTTAAACAAACAAGCACACACCCTACTCTCCTCCAACCTTTGTGCCAAGCATAAGAGGAGAAACAAATGAAGAAGGCAAGATCTTTTAGAAAGTGTCATTTCCTTCCCAAGTCCCACACATGACGTACCAGACAATGAAAGCTGTGAGGACTCTTAGCATGAGTCTCAGCAAGTACTATGCTCTGGGAAACCTACCTATGCAGTAATGCAACAGACGTCCCAGCATGTCCTGGCACTCCGCAGGGCGCGAAAGGAAGAGGCGCATTAGTGCAGTCAGCAGCTCCATCTTAACAGCAGGAAATGTCTCTGACTTCACGTTTTCTACAAAGTCCTCCAACACATAAGGAGCATTGGATATTTTTTCTCCATGGACCCCAAGTAACCAAATAAGTGCCTGTTTCCCCTAGGAATGGGAAAATAATAAATGCTTACTATGTGGTTGCCCAAACAGAGGAAACAGCACAGTCACAGGCTTTGCTTTTTCCCTAGTGCCAGCAGATACACGATACCCTTTCACTGGTACTAACTTGCTGTCCTGCTCCACTGCTTCTCTAAAATAAACAAGAATGAAATTCTAATGCACATGAGCTTTGTGGGTAATGCACATGATGCAGTGCAGTTGGCAAAATGCCAATTTAGCAGGCATAAGACCTGAGTTTGATGCCCACACCTTTAATCCCAGCACTCAAGAGGCAGAGGCAGGCGGATCTCTGAGCTTGAAGATAGCCTGGTCTACAGATCCAGTTCCAGGACAGCCACGGCTACACAGGGAAGCCCTATTGGGTGTGAGGATCACATCTATAACCCCTCACTCAGCTGATGGAGGCAAGAGGATTAGAGTTCAACGTCAAAGTCAGCTACACAGTGAGTTTAATGACAGCCTGGGCTTTGTAAGACACTATTCTGGGCTCTGGGAGACATTATCAAAAAGAGGCAAAGAGAGAGAGAGAAACAAAGAAAAAATGCTATCATGCATAAAGGGAGACTCAAAACTTTTATTAGCCTATGCTGATTAAGCAATAAATAAAGCTTTCTCAGTTTGGGCCTTTTGCCCAATTTAAGGGTTGTTTTTTGTTTTGTTTTTCGAGACAGGGTTTCTCTGTAGCTTTGTGCCTGTCCTGGAACTCACTCTGTAGCCCAGGCTGGCCTCGAACTCACAGAGATCCACCTGGCTCTGCCTCCCCAGTGATGGAATTAAAGGAGTGGGCCACCACTGCCTGGCCCAATTTAAGGTTTAGTGTTTCTTTTTTTGCTTGTTTTTTCAACTATGTAGCTCTGACTGTTGTGGACTCAGAATGTAGACCAAGCTGATCTCAAATTCACAGAGATCCACTAGCTTCTGCTCCCAAGTGCTGGAATCAAAAGTGAGGTTTCATGTTTCAAAAAACTACTGACAGAATTTCTTGAAATCTTTGTATGAAAGTGATTATGAACTTAGAATATATACCAGAATCATCTGTGATGTCTCTTAAAAGCCCATCTGTAGCCGGGCGTTGGTGGCGCACGCCTTTAATCCCAGCACTCGGGAGGCAGAGCCAGGCGGATCTCTGTGAGTTCGAGGCCAGCCTGGGCTACCAAGTGAGCTCCAGGAAAGGCGCAAAGCTACACAGAGAAACCCTGTCTCGAAAAACCCAAAAAAAAAAAAAAAAAAAAGCCCATCTGTCTAGGTCTCCCCACTCCTACATATTTAACTCAGCAGACTCTCTGGGGAGGAAGAAAACAAATTTCTGTAAAAATCCCACAAACAAACAATACCACACAGGCCAGACATAGTGGAGCTCATCTTTCATCCTAGCACTCAGGAGGCAGAGGCAGGGCAGTCTAGTCCATATACCGAGTACCACACCAGCCAGGGCTATATAGTAAGACCCTGTCTCAAAAATTAACAAACAAAAAAACCTACCACCAACAAAAATATTCCATGGTGTAAATCTCTGACTCATAATTATTCAAGAGGACAATGGTATCAAAGAATTTATCACTGAAACTATAGATAAGTCTTTTTATAATTTTTGGGTTATTTATGTCCCAAAGAGACATAAGCAAGCCTGAGTTCCTACTTGGACACAGAATGTTAAACAGTAATTAGCTTCCATTTCAGGGCTAGATACTGTCTCAGTGGTAGAAGTGTTTACCTAGCCTGAGTTTGATCCCCAGCACCACAAAACCGAACCAGATACAGACTCCATTTCAGAAGGCAGGGTCCTACAATCCCTTCTATGATTACAAGTAAAAAGAGAATTACATTCTACCTCACTGTCTTGAATGTTCTCCTCACAGCCGGGCAGGGCCTGACACACAGCTTCCGTACACTGAGGGCACAACCAAACCAGGTCTCGGAAAGTCTGCACCACCACTACAATAGAGCCCGGAACACAAGAGCACAGGGTGAGAGTCCATGCAGGAAAGAAGCTTAAGAAGACTCATGTATTCAGATTAGATTTCTAACTGTATTTCTGGAAAACAGGTTTGGAGGGGTGGTTATTAATTAATTGAGAAATGGAAGATACACATGAATTTCACACCTATCAAATTGACATGAAGGTAAGTGAACAAATAGCAAAGTGCTTTGTAAATACAACGTTGTGGGCAAATGTGGGGTAGTGTTGCTGGCAGACACTGAACACAGTGCTGAGACTGGTGGAATGAGCAAGGGGTCTAAATGCAAGATTTAAGATGACACCTGAGACTGGCACGTATACAAGCCTGAGAATAAGGCCTTGCTAAATTTTACATTGTAGGAGCCTTCCTTGCCTCACTTCAGCCCAGCCTTGGAAGCTGGGTGAAGGAAGTAAAAAGAGGGGTACAGATAAAGAGAGCTTCCTAGTACCTTCACTATCTACAGTGCAGCCTTGTCACTCCAACAGCCACAAGAGTCTACCCTGTTAGCTCTACAGAGCCCAGGCTTCTCGGACAGCAACAGATGATGATGCAAGGACATGTTTAAGCCTATATAATTGAAAGTCATTTAAGAAAGAGATTCTTTAAACAACTACTGTTAGCTAGGTACTTGATGAAAGAGAGAGAGAGAGAGAGAGAGAGAGAGAGAGAGAGAGAGAGAGAGAAAGAAAGAGAAAGAAGGGAGGGAGGGAAGGAAGAAAGACTGATTCTAGAAAAGCAGGCATTACCCGTAGTGATGTGTTCTTGTCGGAGCCCCAGCAACTCTGTTAGAATCTGTACACACTGGTCTGTGTAAGTCTTGGCAATGCTACCTACAGAGGATGGAAAGGTGAAATTCTAGCATGTCATTCTAAAACCATTTCCCATTAGTCAGAGGCGAACAGAAGTTGCACACCTGTAATCCCAGCAGCCGAGACGCTGCAGCAGGAGGATCACAAATTAGAGGCTAGTCTGGACTACACTAAACTATGGTTTAAAAATGAAAAACAAGCCTTGCGGTGGCGGCGCACACCTTTAATCCCAGCACTCAAGAGTCAGAGTCAGGTGGATCTCTCTGAGTTTGAGGCCAGTCTGGTCTACAGAGTGGGTTCCAGGACAGCGAGGGCTACACAGAGAAACCCTGTCTAGAAAAACCAAAAAAAAAAAAAAAAAAAAAAAAAAAAAAAAAAAAAAAGACCACAATGTTTATGTCTATCTTCTCTGTCAATGTGACTGGATTTACAATCATCATGGAAACACATCTATAGGTATGTCTGTAAAAGTATTTCCACAAAGCTTTATCTGAAAAGAGGGGACTCATCCTAAATGTGGAAGTCACCGTCATGTGGGTTGGGATCCCAGAATGAATTAAAAGGAAACATGAACTTAGCACCAGCATTCATCCTTCTCTACTTCCTGAATGAAGCAATATGACCAGCTGCCTCACACTCCTGCCATGTTGGACTGTAGCCCCGAAGACAGTAAGCCAACATAAATTCTTCTCTCCTTTTTTTTTTTAAAAAAAAGATATTTATTTATTTATTTATTTATTTATTTATTTATTTATTTATTTATTATGTACACAGAAGAGGGCACCAGGTCTCATTATAGATGGTTGTGAGCCACCATGTGGGTGCTGGAATTGAACTCAGGACCTTTGGAAGAGAGAGCAGTTGGTGCTCTTAACCTCTGAGCCATCTCTCCAGCCCAAATTCTTCTCTCCTTAAGCAGTGTTACATCAGGCATTTTGGTCATAGAAACAAGAAAAATAATTAATACAACCAAAGACATCTTTAAAAGAAAAAAATCACTAATTACAATAAAGTAAGAATGTAAGTTCACTGAGGCACAGTGAGCTATGGTTAAAATAAAATACATTTTTTTCAACTGACCTAAAGAAACTTTAAGGAAAAGAAAAAAAAAAATTCCCCATAGCACAAGGCTGAAAGCACAGTAACAAAGTATGGGATGCAGTTGTGGTCTGTTCGTTTGAGACAGGCTCTTGCTATATCATGTAGGGTGACCTTGAACTTGTGATTCTCTTGAGTGCTGGAATCACAGGCACATACCACATTTGACTGAGGCACCCTTCTGGATGCAACACACCTGAAGAGGAATACTACTGCTGGAGAGATGTGACAGCAATCTTTTAAGTCTAAGGATTTTTATTATCTTTCAAATATGAGGTCCCTCATGCTCCTCTACTTAGTGTTAGCCCTCTCAATCTTGTTTGTCGGCTGTTTTCATCCTTTGACTCTTTCAAGCCTTTTGGGTTCCAGACTAAGCAGGCAGAAAATCTCTAAAATTAAGGAATTACTCTCTGTTGGTCTATACTTAGCACTATATAGCCCATAATAGAAGCAGAGGATTTTTAGTCAAGAGAGTTGGGTGCCATTCAGTTTGGAAACTCTATGATCTTTTGGCCACTTAGTGACCTTTTTTGTACCTAAGTTTCTTAATCTTTAAAATACACACTATTTTTGACTGCCTTACAAGACCATAAGATGATATACATAAAAACATTTTGGATAGAAAACAGCATAAAGACAGTACAAATTTTTAAGCGTTGTTGTTGAGTTACCTGTATTGTCTACCTTGAGAAACATCTGCCTTGATTTAAAACAAAACAACTCTTTGCCCTAACATGTAATCACTGACCCAAAATTTATGATACTCAGTCTCTGAAACAAGATTCATTTACTACTGTCCTCTATGGTTTCCCTGACTACACTCTTTAGGTGGCTGAACTGGGGTCACAAGAAAAAAAAGCAGCAGGTACTTTACCTATGGCAAAGATGGCAGCCTGTGCAAAGTCAGCAGACACATCCGTGCAGTACCCTCGAAGCTCTTCTAGAACCTGCTGCACATTCTCATCATTCACCAGTTCACACAGCACTTCCACCTTCTGGAGCTTGATATAGTGGGGTTCCGAGTAAGAGCAAAAAAACTTTTTGTAGTGACTGCTGAAGTGACCTGGCAAACTATGCAAGACTTGGCGGACGTGACAGAGAGCAGCAAAACAGAGCTCACGGCTCTCGGAAGAACAGGCTGCTAGCAAGGGCCCCTTGACTCGTACAAGCACATCAGTTTGTACATGGGGGAACCTTTTTGCCAAGATCAGGAAGAGTTTGGTGGCTCCCATCACCACACCTGTGCTGCTGCTCTTGAGATAGCTGTCCAACAAATTGAGAATATCAAACAGCTCCTCCTCACTTCGGGGTTGGTAGCGGAGCAGAAAGTGCAATACTTCCGCCTGGCCCCATTGATCCAGTTTTGACATTCTGTCGAAAATGAAAACAAAGGAACTATTTTAATAACAAATGGAACATTCTCCATACAACTGCCATAAACCAAATAGCTGTTCATCATAACAAAAGGGGGAGAGGATTCTTAAAATAGATTATGCCATGATCAAATTCTTTTTGCACTTTAAAACATAAATTTTACAGTCCACAACAAAGGCTGTTTAGATGGCTCAATGAGGAAAGGCATTTCTTTCCAAACCTGTCTACCTAAGTTCATTCTCCAGAACACACATGGTAGAAGAAAGAAATGATTCCCCAAAGCTGTCCTCTGACTTCTACACATATGCCATGGCACATGCTTACACGGACACACAGACACAACACACACACACAAATGATAATAATAACAATGAGGTTTTTGTTTTTTTTTATTCTAAGGGGGCTGGAGATATGGCTCAATGGGTAAGAACATGTACTACTCGTCCACAGGATATGAGTTTGATCCCAGCAAACAACCATATCAGGTGGCTGGCAATCACCTGTAACTCCCACTCCAGGAGGATCCAACCCTTCTGGCCTTTGGCGGCATCCACTTTCACATGCACATTATCTCTACACATACAAACACACACACATGCACATACACACAATTAAAAATCAAACATTAATCTTACAAAGAAATTCCAAGACAACTTGATGGTACAAGTGCATACCTGTCTGAAACTAAAGATACGATCAATATATACCAGATCCAGAGTCTCTGAATTAATTTTTTTCCAGTACTGGAGACTGAACCCAGGGATCATACATGCTAGCAAGTATTGGGGGTTTTGTTGTTTTGTTTTTGTTTGTTTTTTCCAGACAGGGTTTCTCTGTGTGGCCTTGGTTGTCCTGGAACTTGCTTTATAGACCAGGCTGGCCTTGAACTCACAGAGATCCACCAGCCTCTGCCTCCCAAGTGCTGGGATTAAAGTGTGCGACACCATACCTATTCCTAGCAAATATTTTACTGCTGAACTATATTATACCTCTAATTTCACATTTTCTATATTTTTTCCAAGGTTTATTTATTTTTTTTATGTGTATGAGTATTTTGCCTACATTTAAGTGTACTGTATGTGGGCCTGGTCCCCTAGGAGGTCAGAAGAGTGTGTTGGATTCTCTGAAACTGGAGTCATAGCTAGTTGTGTGCTGTGGGATGTCTTTCTGTACGCTGTGAATATGTGTTGCTCTCACTGGTTGATAAATAAAGCTGTTTGGCCAATGGCGAGGCAGAATAAGGTTAGGTGGTACATTCAAACTAAAGATGGGAAGGTAGAGATGAAGGGTAGAGTTGGGGGAGATGCCAGCCTGCTGCCCAAGAAGCAATAAGATGCCAGTAGACTGGTAACACCACATCCACATGGCAACATATAGATTAATAGAAATGGGTTAATTTAAGATGAAAGTGTTAGCTAGCAAGAAGCTCAAGCCAGAGGCCATACAGTTTGCAATTAATATAAGCCTCTGAATGATTATTTTAAGTGGCTGTGAGAGCTCGGGTGGGAGAGATTTGTCCGAACTGTGGGTCTAGGCAGGACCAAGGAACTTCCCCCTACAGCTGTGAGTCACCATGTGGGTACTGGGAATTGAACCTGGGTCATCTGGAAGAGCAGTCAGAGCTTTTAACCACTAAGCCATCTCTCCAAGACCCCAGATTTTCTAAATTTTAAGGTAAATGGCTTAGTCTTGGGGGCATAATAGGTACTACAGAACAAATGTATCTCCACAGCTTGTTTCTACCATCTTTACATATTAAGAAAAGTAAGTCAAATAAAAGAACTTCTCTCAATAAAATATTAGGAAATTAATAATTGCAGTAAACTTGAAGTCTGGGCTGGCAAAATGGCTCAGTGGGTAAAAGTGTATGCTGTGTAAGCCTGATGATTTGAGCTCTACTGGAACCCACATAAAAATGGAAGGAGAGAATCATTTCCTCTAAGTTTCTACTGACCTTCATACTTTAAACCCACATCACCAGCCCCATCCATCATACACAATAATAAAGTAAGACTTAGTTTAATTCATCAACAAGATCTTACCACGATTCATATCTCATAATAAAAAGAGCATCCAAACCTATTTAAGAGATGGTGCGCAATGGGCTTATTAATGACAACACCTCCTTCCTGTTTCAAAATTTCCTCTAGAGACCTCAGGCAGTTCACAACCACAATTGGATCCTGGTCACGCAGGAGACTGTATAACTCATTGACCAGAGCACCATCTAAAACAAAGACCAACGATTACAAATCAAGAAACACTTGAGTCATATGGATAGAACCTGAGGAACAGCTCTGGGCAGACAAAGCTATGTTTCTGCTAATACAAAAACAAAACCGAAATAAAAACAAAAACCAAAGGCAAAAACAAACAGCATCATTTTCAGTATCAGGACACACAAATTAAGAAATTAATTTCTTTCAAAGGCTGAAAAGAGGAGCTAAAACAAAAACAGATGAAAAAAAAAAAGCAAGCATCTGATTTAGAAAGGCATGCATAGTCATGGAGACACATTATTATTTTCTACCAAGCAAGACAGTTTTTTTCTTCCAAAAGTATACACACAATAGAGACACAAATACATACTGAGCATGGCGGATGATCTTACCCACTTCAGAGTCTCCCTGAAGATTATGCATCTTGGCACAGCCAAGGACTGCCACTCTTCTGACATAGGAAGCCTTATCCCGCAGACCATTAAGGACAGGCTGTTGGATATACTCCTGCACACCTGGCATCCTAAGAAACATCCTAGAGTCAGGCGGATCTTGACATACTAGCTTTGACATAATTAAGCTCTTCTTCAATTTAACAGGTTTAGTTTAAATATGATTTAATAATTCATGTTTGAATGTATATCTATTAGATCACAAGAAATTGGAGAAAGCCTCTATTAAATTTAAAAAGCCATAATTGGACTTTTTGTTTGGAATAATGCTGCAGAGCCAACACAAATTGTTATAGTAATAACTGATTAAGTATCTTTAACTGAAACTCAGAACTATTTTACCAAGATAAAGGAAACCACTTTTAATAAAACCATTAGACACAGTTTAGAAGGTCAAAGCAATGGCTGAAAATTTGAGTTCAAGGAAGAACAGTACTTTCCTTAGTATTAGGGAGCTTAAGCTGTTTTCATTAAGAATCTGCTAATTCATCAGCCACCAGACAGGGGGTAAAGTGCTCACCTGAGGCTACACATGCTCCGGAGTGCCAGTCCTCGCACCATTGGGTTGGGGTCTGAGCAGTCTTTACATAGTGTATTGATGGCCAAGAGTGCCAAATCTGGTTTCAAAGGTGCATATGTGCCCATATACAGATAAACCAACTTTTTCTGAACAATATCTACAGTGGCACTGGCCTTCACCATTTCCATGAAAACACCAGACATGTCCAAGCCCTGAGTCATATGCCTATAAGGAACATACAGAGCAGAAAGAAGTAAAACACACAATCTCCAATCTGTAAGAGGAGTTTTATGTATATATGTTCCGGTTATCTAACTAAATTATGATCTTTCAGAGAGGTCTAGTTGGGTATACCTTGTCTATTACATCACACAAAACTTCCTACTATGGGCCTGCCACTGTTGCTCTATGAGTTCCGCACTCTTGAGTCCTTAGTACATGCCAATGAAATGATATGGGGATGGTACATTCAACTTTAACATTTCAGAGGTATGACATGGGGACATCTTTTGAAGGTACAGGCTGGAGAGGAAGCTCAATGGTTAACTAGTATTTTGTACATGGTAGCTCATAACCATCCATAACTACAATTCCAGGGGATCTGATGCCTTCTGACATACATAGGCACCAAGCATACACGTGGTGCACTTACATATGCAGGAAAAACACTCATACACATACAATTTTTTTAAAAAAGTAAAAATAAAAAGCCAGGCATGGTGATGTACAACTATAATCTGAGCACTTGGAAGGCACAGGCAGGTGGCCCTCTGTGAGTCTGAGGCCAGCCTGGTCAGCAGAGTTCCCAGGACAGCCAGGGCTGTCTGGAGCAAAATAAAACCAAACAGAGCAGAGGTAGCCTCAGATGTTTAGGAATTCAATATCAACTAGGAAGCCAGCCAAGCACATCACTGATTTCAAACCTCCCGTGTAAAGTATTGAATAATGCACAGAACACAGACCAAGAAGATCCACGTCCACATGCTGCTGTGGCGGTCAGAAAACACCTCTTCGCAGAATAGCTAATGACCAGCTCACAAGGCAAATGTGACACAGGTAACGATACATGCCATAAGGCATGAACAAGAACTGAACATTCATTTTGTTCCTTGGGTGACATGATAAAGAATTTGGACTTCATTCCACTGATTATGTTTCTAATGTGGAACCAAGCTACTATATAGAATCAGCTAAGATGTTTATTTAAAACGCAGTCCCTGGATTCTATCTCATCCTAACAAAATCAGAATCAATCCCTAGGTCGCACTTTTTCAAAAGCATCCCAAGGGACTTTTGTCCCTACACTAACGTTTTTTGAGCTATAGCTACAGGTTATGTGTTCAAATGTATATAATAGAAAAATCCTAACACAAGTGAGGAGACAAAGTCACTTATTAACAAACTACCAAAATAAGCTTTGGTAATGTTGGCCTGAGCCAACACTACAGTACTAATAACGAAGAGTGAATATTTAGAATTTTTCACACTACCTGACACTTGAAGGGAAGGGCAGTGCCGTCAAAGTTGTCTATCATGCTTAGTGGGATGCCTGGTGACATTTGTAACACAAATTCGGGCAAAATAGCAGGTTTGAGGGGGAGAAGAATGCTGGTACTATTTTGGTCCTATCTTTGAAGAACTATCCAGGTAAAAATGCCAGGCAAGCAGAGGGATATATAGGTCTGAATCTTACAAACATGGAGAACTGTACTAAGTCAGTCATTGCACCAGGGGTCAGCGGCGGAACTGCTGAAGCCTGTGACATGAATAGGAAACCTCTCGGCTGGGTAGGGAGACCGAAGTGACGATGCAGAAATGCAGTCTCAAGGGCCAAAAGATACAACTGCCATGTGTGAAGGTTCCTGGACTTCTTCCGAGTGGTGGCCGGTAGGGAGCCCTGAGGAGGGTTAAAAGTGGGGCAGGGTGGGGAAGGTGGAGGCGGGGGTTAGAATTCTTAGGTTGGTGATACCTAATAACTCGCTGGATGACATTCCGGTAGCGCAGCCTATCAGCCTGAATATGAGGGTTACACAGAGCCTTCTTCAGTTCCTTCACCACGTCCTCGGAGCCAAGGTATGGCATCTTCGCCAGCAGTCACGGGGCAGCTTCCACGGACCCGTGGAGGGGAGCTCGTGGGCTCCTTCTAGTCCCGAGGTGGGAGCCTGAGTGAAGGAAACGTGGTCAGCGACAACACTCCAGGCGAGGGTGTCCCTCGGCAGTGCCTGGCCCCAGGCAGGAACGCACACTTCACCCCTCGGGCCTCCAGCGAGCCCGGACCCTGGCCCTTCAGGCGCCGACCCGAGCCCCGCCGGCCGTTCGCTCCGCCCAGCACATCTCCTCAGCTTAGCTCTAGGCCCCGTGAGGCATTCGCTACCCCACCAGCGAGAGGCAGACCTAGCACAGCCTCCCTATCCAGGACCAGCCGCCGAGGCCATCCCACAACACAACGCCCCAGCCAGCTTCCTGCGGAAGTCCCGCCCCCTCGCCCTGACACTCGCTGAGCCCCCGCCCCAGTGGCGCCGAGCGCCGAGCGCAGGCAAAAACCGACCTCAGGACGCCCTTCCCCCACCCACTCCCCGCTTGGCGCAGGCGCGCGGCGCGCTGTGCCGGAGCCGCGGCCGGCCATCGGAAATCGGCTACTCGGGCCTGCCTCCTCGCCGCCGCGCGCAAATTGGTCAAAAAGTATGGGCCTGGGTTCCCGCGCGCCCGGGTGATGCTCTCGGGGCCTCTTCCGCGTTGGGCTCTTTCGCTTTCGCCCTCCCGAGCGCGGGCCACCTTCTTTTTGCTCACTCTGTCTACTCCTTCCACGTCTGGGTTGTTTTTCCCTTGTCCTTGCGCCCGCATGTCGTCGGGACGCTGTCGTGGACGCCTCACGCAGGAGTGCTGTTCCAGCGAAGCCCCCGCGGGTGGCTTTCCAACCCGGCCACCATGCACGGGGTCGTAATCCCCCAAACGCCTATCGCTGTGGACTTTTGGAGCCTGCGCCGCGCTGGCACCGCGCGGCTCTTCTTCTTATCCCACATGCACTCCGACCACACGGTGGGCCTGTCTAGCACTTGGGCACGGCCCCTCTACTGCTCCCCAATCACTGCCCACCTCCTGCACCGTCACCTACAGGTACTGGGGCTGGATTTGGCCTCTGAGACCTAGTTCAGGAATCTGGGAGGGGACTTCTGATCTGTCTCAGCTTGGGGATCACAGAGTGGGCGCCTTAAAGACGCAATTTTTGCAGATGTGGGAGTTGATCCCAGGATAAGACTAGCCTCCAGCTACCTGACTACAGATTTTTAGCTGTAAAGTTAGACAAGGAAATTATTCCTATCTTTTCATGAAGTGTCTCCCCAATTTGTTTTTAAGAATCCACCAGACTGAGAATGTAGCTCATTGCTAGAGCATTTGTTAAACATGTACAAGTACCGTAATTTAGATTCCCCAACACTCACCGCCCACTCCCAGTAGTTCATCTATTGCGCTAGGTAAAAAACACATTATCTAACCTCTCCTCATCTTGTCTACTTGAGTAGATATGGCTGGTATGAGCCCTGGCAACCTGCCTGGAATTTTCTCTGACAGTTGCCTCCCACCCCTGCTGGGATTATGAGAGAAGAAAGTTTGAGAATCTTTATTTAGATTTTCAGATTCTGAGCTTAAATCGATACAAAGGGTGGGGAGCCAGAAGAGGAAGGACAGATTGTTTGGGAATCCCTATAACAGCTTACATGAGAGTGTTTCAGGACTTGGTCAGCTTTCTTTGGGAGTTAGTTCCTGGTCCAGGAGAGGAGTCTGTGGTTACTAGGGTGACCAACTGTTTCCTCAGGTGTCTAAGCAGTGGATCCGAGCTCTGGAGATTGGTGAGAGCCATGTATTGCCTCTAGACGAAATTGGGCAAGAAACCATGACTGTAACCCTTATAGATGCCAATCACTGCCCCGGTTCTGTCATGTTTCTCTTTGAAGGATACTTTGGAACAATTCTCTACACAGGTGAGCCTCCCCCAAGATGTCCCTTGTGATATTTTGTATATGCTCTAACAAATAAAACTTGTCTGAAAATCAAAGTACAGAGTTAGCCACTAGTTAGCCATAGAGGCCCAGGCAGTGGTGGCACACACCTTTAATCCCAGCACCTGGGAGGCAGAGGCAGGTGGATCTCTGTGAGTTCAAGGCCACCCTGGGCTACACAATATTCATCCAGTCTAAAAGAGAAACAGAACCAGGCACTGGTGGCTCACACCTTTAATCCCAGCACTAGGGAGGTGGAGACAGGAAGTGATATGGCTGGGCAGAGAGAGGAATATAAGGTGGGAGGAGACTGGAGCTCAGACCCCATTCAATCTGAAGATTTGTAGAAGACAGGATCTTGCCCCTTTTTACAGTCTGAGGATTTCATAGAGGTAAGAACTAGGGCTGGGCATTGGTGGCACACACCTTTAATCCTAGCACTCAGGAGGCAGAGCCAGTCGGATTTCTGTGAGTTCGAGGCCAGCCTGGGCTGAAGAGTGAGTTCCAGGACAACCTCCAAAGCTACATAGAGAAACCCTCTCTTGAAAAACAAAAAAAAATGGGGTTGGGGATTTAGCTCAGTGGTAGAGTGCTTGCCTAGCAAGCACAAGGCCCTGGGTTCGGTCCTCAGCTCTGGAAAAAAAAAGAGAACTCGGGCCTGCCTGGTCTGCTTCTCTGATCTTTCCGCTTTCACCCTGGTATCTGACTCTGGGTGTTTATTATTAAGACCAGTTGGAATTCGTGCTACAGTCCCTCTCACTTTCCAGCTGTGTGATTTCTGAAGCTGCCTTCACTCAGAAGACTAGGCCTTGAAGCTTCATCCCATATAGGCACAGTGACCCTTTTCAACTGACTGACCATCTAAACCCTTTTAAGAATATGCAAGTAGCCGGACGGTGGTGCCAGATGGTGCCAGATGGTGGTGGTGGTGGTGGTGGTGGTGGTGGTGGTGGTGGTGGTGGTGGTGCACGCCTTTAATCCCATTACCTGGGAGGCAGAGGCAGGCAGATCTCTACAAATTCAAGGCTAGCCTGGTCTACATAGTGAATTCTAGGACAGCCAGGCCTATGTAGAGAAAGCCCATCTCCCAGAAAACAGCAAACAAGGGGGTTGGGGAGATGGCTTAGCACTTAAGAGCACTGGCTATTCTTCCAAAGGACCCTGGTTCAAGTCCCAGCACCCAAATGGCAGTTCCCAACTGTCTGCAGCTCCAGTTCCAGGGGATCTGGCATCCTTGCATAGATATACATGCAGGCAAAACCCCAATGTACATAATAAATAAATCTTAAAAACAAAACAAAAAACAGCAACCAAACAAATAAAAAAAATGCCACAAGAGAAGGATAGAGACTTTTTTTTTTTAATTTGGTTTTTCGAGACAGGGTTTCTCTGTGTAGTTTTGAAACCTGTCCTGGATCTCACTCTGTAGACTAGGCTGGCCTCAAACTCACAGAAATCCGCCTGGCTCTGCCTCCCAAGTGCTGGGATTAAAGGCGTGCACCACCACCACCACCACCACCACCACCACCACCACCACCACCACCACCACCGCCCGGCGAGGCTTTTTTTTTTAAACAAAGAAGCTATATTGTAGGTACAGTTCAGTGCCAGGAAACAGTTTTCCATAAATCAGGAACCAGTGCCCATCTGTTGCTAAAGGTGGGAGAGGCTGGTCTCCTATCCTTGGTCTTTGTCCCCTGCTCCCACCTCCTGTATTGTTCTTCCAGGTGATTTTCGATTTACACCATCCATGCTGAAGGAGCCTGCCCTGATCCTGGGGAAACAGATTCATACTTTATATCTGGACAACACCAATTGCAATCCAGCCCTGGTTCTTCCTTCCCGACAAGAAGCTACTCGGCAGATTGTCCAGCTCATTCGACAGTTCCCACAGCATCACATAAAGATTGGTGAGCGGTTCCCTGTTTCTCTCACTCATGCTGAGTGAGTCTAAATTCTTTGAAGGTTCTCGTTGTTTTCAAGTCTTTGCAGGTCTCGCCTTCCTTGTAAAACCTACTATGATAATCTTATTTAACATTGAACCTCCCAGCCGGCCTGGTGGCCCAAACCTTTAATCCCAGCACTCAGGAGGCTGGGATTAAATAGAAGCAGCCTATTCTATATAGTGAGTTCCAGTGAGAAAGACCCTGTCTCAAAAAAATAAAAATAAAATTGAGCCTTTCCATCTTCGTTCTCATCCCTCCCTCCAGCTCTGGCATTAAATCTAGGGTCTCACATATGTTAGGCAAGTACTGTATCATTCAACCCTCTTCTTTTAAATGTGTTTATTTTTAGTGCTAAGATTACAAACATGTGCTAGCACGACCAGTTTGTATGGTGCTGGGATTACCCAGGGGTTTTGTACATGCTAGGCAAGCACTCTGTCAACTGAACTACATCCTGAGCCCCAAGCTTACTCATTTTTTATAGTATTCTTCACCTCCCAGTGTATTTGGTACATATTTAAATATGCTATTGCTTATGTAGACATATACCTGATAATGTACACATACACCAACGTGAACTATAACTCCTTAAGATAGTCAGGCAGTGGTGGCATACACCTTTAATCCCAGCCCTTGAGAAACAGAGACGGGCAGATCTCTGAGTTTGAGGTCTGTAGAGTGAATTCCAGGACAGCCAGAACTACACAGAGAAACCCTGACTGGAAGAAAAGAAAAAAGAGAAAGAAACAAAGGAAGAAAAGAAACCCTTAAGTGGGCTGGAGGGACAGCTCACTGATTAAAAGCACTGGCTGCTCTTTCAGAGGACCCAGGTTCAATTCCCAGCACCCACATGGCAGCTCACAACTGCCCTGTAATTCCAATTCCAGGGGATCCAATGCTTCTTCTCACCTCCAAGGGCTCCTGCAGGCATGTGGCACACAGCCATACACTCAGGCTCACATACATACGCATAAAATAAAGTAAGTAAATAAATAGTTTTTAAAAAAGGAAAAGAAACCCCCAAAAGCTGAGAGGAAGCTGTGTGTGTGTCAGAGAAGCAGCAGCCGGTGTGACACACACAGCAGGCAGGCTCGAAAGCTGGAGTGGTAGTACGCCCTTTGGGATGGACTTTTTGGAGGGTAGGGTAGGGGTGTTTTTCAAAACAGGGTTTCTCTGTGTAGCTTTGCGCCTTTCCTGGAACTCACTCCGCCTGCCTCTGCCTCAGTGCTGGGATTAAAGGCATGCACCACCGCCACCACCACCGCCACCACCGCCGGCGGCTTGGAATTGATTCTAATCTCAATAAAGAGCTGTTGAGTGGTTTCAAGTAGAAGAGGAACAGTACTCCACTTAATTGTTTCATGATATATGTTCCATAGTTTCCATGTTCGTTCCTTTTAATTTTTACTGTTTCTTCTGCTAGAATGTAGGTTCTCCCATAACAAGGTTCTTTATTTCTTACGGTGCCTCCGTAATGAAAGAGAGATAGTAAATATTTGCTGTGTGAATGAATACAGAGATTACTTCAGATAGGTGCGTTGAGAAAACAGCTGTTTGCTTGTCCTGGTATCTCCACAGTGGTACTCAATATCTTTGGGACTCTTGAAGTTGTGTTTTGAAAAATAGTTTATGAAACCAAAAATAAAGGAAAAAGCCGGGCAGTGGTGGTGCACGCCTTTAATCCCAGCACTTGGGAGGCAAAGGCAGGCGGATCTCTGTGAATTCGAGGCCAGCCTGGTCTACAAATTGAGTTCCAGGAAAGGCGCAAAGCTACACAGAGGACCCCTGTCTCGAAAAACCAAAAAAAAAAAAGAAAAAAAAAAAGGAAAAATAGTTTATGAAAATCAACTTTTCTTTAAAAACAAAACAGAACAGCTTTTGTTCTAAATAACTTCTTTGGTTGTTTCAAAAAGTATAGGTCCTCAAAAGAGGAAAATGAATGTCTTAAAGCATATGTCACAACTCTGAAAGGAGTTTCAAAATGGCCTTAAATAAAAAGAATGAAAAAAACTATACACCTCCCAGGGTAGCTACCAAACTGATTGAGAAATGTCCCCTACCCTCAGGATTACTTAACTATTCATGAAGAAATACTATCTGACCATTCTTGAAGTATGACATGCAGCATTTTCTCAGAGAAGCACAGCTGGTTAGAGTGCCTGTGGTAGGGTTTGATTAATTTTGTAAAAATGTAATTAGTCCTGTAATGTGCCACATATCCAGTAGGCAGTAGAAATACAAATCTGAATAAATATGGTGTCTGACTTTAAGAGCTTCCTGTTGGGCTGGAGAGATGGCTCAGAGGTTAAGAGAACCGACTGCTCTTCCAGAGGTCCTGAGTTCAATTCCCAGCAACCACATGGTGGCTCACAACCATCTGTAATGAGATCTGGCGCCCTCCTCTGTATACATAATAAATAAATAAATCTTTTAAAAAAAAAAAAAAGAGCTTCCTGTTTACTAAGGAAGGACCCCAAGGAGGAAAAAGATATAGAGAGAGCAGAAAACCTTTTGCTCAAAGGGGTAAATTAGAATTCTAATCAAGGGGAGTGGATATAAAACAAACTTTTCTTTTTTTTTTTTTTTTTTTTTTGGTTTTTCGAGACAGGGTTTCTCTGTGTAGTTTTGCGCCGCCTTTCCTGGAACTCACTTGGTAGCCCAGGCTGGCCTCGAACTCACAGAGATCCACCTGCCTCTGCCTCCCGAGTGCTGGGATTAAAGGTGTGCGCCACCACCGCCCGGCAAAACAAACATTTTTTAAGTTCACGGTTTAGTGGTGAGGCGGTGAAGTCGGAGAACAATGGTTAAATACCATCTGCCGTATCTGTTACCACAGCCATTGCTAAAATCCATGTCTTCATTTCTTCTGTGTGCACACCTTTTGTCCTTCTAGATGGAACTTCTGCTTCCCACTTCTCATCCAGGCACTTAACAGTCCTGCGATATTTTTTCATAAAGTCATGTTTTGATCAGAGTATTCTGATGATTCAAATTCATCACTTTCCTACCTCACACTGTTGAGCAGCCCCTGCTTCATCTGCAGCATTAAGTCCTAACTCCTCCTCACTGCTTGGAAGGCCCACTCATAAATGACCTTGGCTTGTCTTTCCAGTGTCCTATCTCACTAGTCATCTTTACTTTAGTAACACTGAGGTGGCTCCTCTTAAAACATTTTCCACTATACCCTCTCCGTGCTGGCTAGCCCTGATCCATCCTTGAAGATACAGCTCAGTTTCCTTTCAGCCAGAGTGATCACCTTCCATCAATTTGCCAAAATGACAAGCACAAAGGGAAGAGGAAATGGACCTGTTGTATAGTCTCTAAGCCTTTTGGAAAACATGGAGTTGTTCCTTTGGCTACATATGTGTGACTGTTCAGGCAGAGGGATATTTGGCATTAAGGGATTGGGTTCTAGTCAAAAAGGAATGTCCTGTAACTGTTACAGTGGCAAAGCTGGAGTCTCTAGTGTTACCCAGAATGCTATTGGTGTTGTTGTAAACCGCAAGTTAGCGATGAGATTCTTGCCAGGAGAACTGAAACGCATTGGGCACATGAAGCACTAGATGGAGTGAGGGAACATAGAGAACAGGTGAAGGAAAACGATCAGGAAGATAAAGGCCAAAGAGAAAAGTACTGGGTTCAACTGAAGTGCCCCCCTGTGCTGCCCAGAGAAGCACTCTTTGTGGGAACCAGCGGAAAGGAGCCCGAGCTGATCTGTGAATGACTTAATAGATAAAGTGAGGGGGTTTTGGTTGTTGTTTAAATGGAGTGCTTCATGAATGTATATGTCATCCTTGTTCAGAAGCCATGCTAATCTCTGTATCATTCCAATTTTAGTACATGTGCTGCCAAAGTGAGCACAAGTATGTGTGTGTGTGTGTGTGTGTGTGTTTTTTAATGGAAGTGTGTTGTTTTCTCCCCCAAAGAAATATTTAAATTTCCCATCACCTACCAAAAAAATGGACCTGGCTCAGCTATAGGGAAGCTTTTCCTAATTTCATCAACTGTCAGCTACTTCTGTGCCTTTATAACATTGTATGCCTGCCTGTGTGTGACACTGCCCTTCATTACATTGTTTCTGAGTCTACAGGTGGATGATACTCCTGGAGAGTTTAAGCCTTCTTAATCTGCCTGTTGCCACAGTGCCTCACGCTTGGTAGATGCTTTCTCTTGTTGAACTGAAGGATAAATGGATTTTGTGTGCTCCATCCCTGCATCTGCTATGTATCTTAAATGCATTTCCTTCTTGATACACTTCCTGGGTTGCACATAGATTTTACGAATCTTGGTTAAACATTTGGTTGACCGGGAGTCTTTAATACCTTCATTATCTTCTTTCTCTTCCTTCTCCACCCCCTGAACATAATTTAGGACTCTACAGCCTAGGAAAGGAAGTGCTGCTAGAGCAACTAGCCCTTGAGTTTCGGACCTGGGTGGTGTTGAGTCCTCGACGCCTGGAGGTGGTGCAGCTGCTGGGCCTCGCAGATGTGTTCACAGTCCAGGAAAAAGATGGGCGCATCCACGCTGTAGACCGTATGGAGGTCTGCCATTCTGCCATGCTTCGGTGGAACCGGACTCACCCTACCATTGCTATCCTCCCCACCAGCCGGAAGATACGAAGCCCTCACCCCGACATCCACACCATCCCTTACTCTGACCATTCATCTTACTCTGAGCTTCGGGCTTTTGTTGCAGCTCTGAGGCCCTGCCGGGTGGTGCCCATTGTTCGCCAGCATCCTTGTGGAGAGTTCTTTCAGGACAGCCTGAGTCCCCGGCTCTCTGTCCCCCTGATCCCACACTCTGTGCAGCAATCCATGTGCTCCTCCTCTAGGGAAACAAGCGTGCTTTGGCAGTTGGAACGGAGACTAAAGAGGCCCAGAATCCGGGGGGTTGTATTTGAATCCCCTGAGGAAAAAGCTGAGCAGGCTAAAGTTGACAGAGACTCAAAGAAGCACAAGAAAGAAAACCTCTCTCCCTGGCCTGGGGATCTTGAGAAGCTCTGCCCCCATCCTCTGCAGGCCAGGAAGCAGTTGTTCCCGGACTTCTGCAGGAAAGAACGCAATGAGCCGGTCTTTTTTCGTGACTCTGAGAAGATAGCGACTGCGTTGCCTGCCCCCTTGGAATTTTCAGTGCAATTACAGCCTGTAGATGAGTTTCTCTCTCCAGAAACCAGGGAGGAAATCGACTTAGGGTCTCCCGTGATACCTAAGGGAGGCAATGGCTCACCGGCTAGAGGGAACCAAAGTGACTGGGTAGGCTCTGGCTCTCCCCTGTCTCACATTAGCAAAGACACTCATCTGGCCACTGAGTCCAGGGAGCTGGCACTAAAATACCTTCTTACTCCAGTGAGTTTCTTCCAAACAGGGTTCTCATCCAGGAACTTTGACCAGCAAGTGGAAAAATACCAGAAGAGTACAGTATAACAATCCCGTTGGATCAGCACTGCAGTTTTGAAAACAGTGGATGGTGGCTAGTGGCAAAAGTTTGTTTGGTGCCTTCTGTTACAGAGTCCTGTGGCTCACCCCGGAGTAGCTCTTCTGAAGCTTGTTTATGGAGTTCCGGTGCCTATGAAACCCTTAGCTTTATAGATGACTATTTTATTATTATTATTATTATTATTATTTTTATTTTTTTTTAGTGGAAAAAGTAGAATCTGACTCAAAAAAGAACCAGGTTTGTCCCATGTGTCTTATTCCTCAAGTCCCCTTCATTTTCTTCTTAGATAAAAAGTCCTTAGGTTATTTATTTTCAAATTGTGAATCATGGTGCTAGAGGATAAAGTGGTATCCCAGGCTTTATGTTCTAATCCTGAATGTCACTGACTTGCTGTGACCCTGTCCAGGTAACTTCCTGTCTCTGCCTCAGGGAGGGAACAGGAAACCATGAAGAGGCCTTGAAACTATTGAGAAAATAACCCCTTCCTCCTTCATGAAAGGGGCCAGTAACAGTCATGAGAGATCCATTTGGAACAAAGCCATTGGGGGCTAGGGACCCCGCAACCAAGTTGGTACATGCAGTAAGCTGAACATTAAGGCTTAGAATATGTCTGAGCTACTGGATGCTTGGAGACATTACTTTGTTAAAATAAAGCTATAAAAGAAAAATGTGCTGCCAGATATTCCTCTGATTGTTCACATAGCTGGGATTTTCGCCCCACCCCCACCAATTTGAGTTAGGAAGCCAGAGCACAGAGCTTGTTTGTTTTAGTATCCAGGGGAGAGACCAAGGAGCCAGCTGGCTGGAACAGGTCAGAGTGTGCAGTTTATGCTGCCCTGCTCATAACCTAACAAAATGCCAAACCAGTAAGCAAGCCAGCTGATAGCATGGCCCTGAAGAAATGTGCTCTGGGAGGACGCAGGCGAAGAGCCGGGCATAGGGCGAAGCAGCTTCAATGTGAACCTTGGGCCTTAGCAATGAGGAAGACTGTCTCTTACCCTCGGGAAGGAAAAGTGAGGTTTAGTACTTGGTGCTGTACCTGTCAGTGACCTTCCTATAAACCTCTGAGGGCCTCACAGGAGCTGCAGCAGGTGAGGCGTGGTACAGTAGGAAACCTGGACATTGCTGGAACCTAGGGCACCTGACAATTCGTTTAAATAGAGGCACCTTACTCAGCTGTCAAGTGGAGCTGAGATGCCTATCTCCCATGATTGCTATGCAGATTAAATTATTGGTGAAATTCCCTTGCTTGGTGTCTGGCTCGTGACAGTATTTCTAATAATTGTTTTTTTGTAGCTAAAGGTATAGCTCTGGTAGGACGTGTGTTTAGCAAGCTGAAATCCTGGGTTCTATCCTGAGTGCCACAAAAAAAAAAAAATAGTAATAATAATAATACAACAAAGACTTGGTTCTCTTAGCCTTTGGTCTTCAAAACAATTTTTTATAAAAATACAAACTAAGTCGGGTGGTGGTGGTGCATGGCTTTAATCACAGTAGAGGCAGGTGGATCCCTTGAAACTCCCCTCTCCCCGCCCCCCAAAAAGAAAGAAATACAAAGTAAAGTAAAATGTCTTCCATGTAGACTAGTTGATGGGCCTTTTTCTAGTATTTCTGAGGACTTAAGTATGTTAAATCTGTACATTTTCAGAATTAAGATAATTCACATACACACAATGATCATTTTTTTTTTTTTTAATGTAAAGGGTGCTGGAAAGATGGCCCAGTGGTTAAGAGCTCTTACTGTGCTCTTGAGGACCTGGGTTCAGTTCCCAGCACTCACATCAGGTGAATTATAACCACCTGTAACTCAAGTTCCAAGGGGTCTGATGCTCTCTGATCTCTCCGAACAACTGCACATAAACACATGCAGCCTCACACAATACACATAAATAAAAAATAATTTTTAAAAAGGCTTCAAAGGGGGTTTGGGGATTTAGCTCAGTGGTAGAGCTCTTGCCTAGCAAGCGCAAAGCCCTGGATTCGGTCCTCAGCTTCGACAAAAACAAAAAACAAAACAAAACAAAAAAAGGCTTCAAAGGGTTCAGTGAGATGGCTCAGTGGATAAAGGTACTTGCCACACAAACTGGTGAACTGGGTTCAATGTCCAGAACTCACATAAAAGTGGGAAAGGAGCCAGGCGGCGGTGGTGGCACATACTTTTAACTCCAGCACCCAGGAAGCAGAGGCAGGCAGATCTCTTGAGTTCAAGGCCAGCCTGGGCTACAGAGTTAGTTCCAGGACAGCTAGGACTGTTGCACAGAGAAACCCTGTCTTGAAAAAAAAAAAAAAAAGTGGAAAAGGAGAACTGAGTCCGTAAAGTTGTCCTCCACCCAACTGGCATGCATGCCTCTACATAATAGACTTATACGGTATATGACTTTAAATCCTGCATTTTACCTATCTCCTTAATTGGAATGCAAAATGCCAATATCAAAAATGCCAATTTTAATAGGGTCATGTCATGTGAATACATGTTAATAAACCATTCTCAACATAAATTATCATTTATAACAAATTATTCAACATTTGTATACTATTTGTCTTTTAGATCATTTATGTGTATACGTGTTTTGTTTTGTAAATGTTATGTGCACTACATGCATACCTGGTGCCTGTGCAAGTCAGGAGTGTTGAATCCCTTGGAATTGGAGTTAGGGATGGTTATGGACCACTGTATGGGTGCTGGAAGCTGACCGTGGGGGTCCTCTCCAAGAGCAACGAATGTTCTTAA